CCCCCACATCCTGGCCATGTTTCAGGAAAACCACCGCAACGAAGAAGAGCTGTGCCAACAGATACGGACGGCAGCGCAGCAAGCAAGCCCGCAGGAGGTCACCACACTGCGTAGCTTCGCGATGTCGAGCAGCGAGATAAAACAGAAGTGGGAAGCCGCCCGTGACAACGCGGCCCGAGAAGGAACCTGGATGCACGCTCAATTCGAGTGCCTGCTGAACGGAGGGTCCGTGCGAGAAATGACCTCAGAGATCGCCCTGCTCTTCCGATTCCTAGGGAAACTGCACGAAGGCACGGCCTACAGAACCGAATGGAAAGTCTACGCCGAGGACATCGACGTAGCCGGTAGCATCGACTTCGTCATCCAGCAAGCCAGCGGCAGCCTAGTGCTCGTGGACTGGAAGCGAAGCAGCAGAATATCAAGCCGCGGAGAGCATTTCAACCGCTTCATGAAACCGCCCCTGGCACACCTGGGAGACAGCACCCTCTGCCACTACCACCTACAGCTCAACGTCTATCGATGGATTCTCCAACACCATTACCACAAAGTCATCGCAGAAATGTACATCGTGGGGACGCATCCCGACAACGGCCACGAACCTTGGATACAGCAGGTCGGAGTCATGGACAACGAAACCACGAAGCTCATCGACGAAACAGTCAAGGCACGGGACAAGCAAGACCACGTGAGACACCGTTGAAGACGGCCCCCCGCTCGCCCGCCACGAAAATCAGTCAAAAAAGAAGTGACGCGGAAACACACGTGCGGCGACACATGCAAAGTCAAGGCTAGCCACATGCGCATGTATCGAGCACACGACCGCCCCCCCTATAACTCTCAGCGAACTTCCCAGCCAAGCCTAGCCCTGGCTCAAGTACGATCAACGGCTTGCACGCGATGGCCAGAAGGCCCTCAGCCAGCGCGCCCGAGCCTGCAAAGAAACGCAAAAGCGAGGAGTTGCTGCGCATCTTCAACCTCGCAGGCGAACAGCTGCTGGAGATTGTCCTCGAGGAGCCAAAAGCAGCAAGCACCATAAAACGAGAACTACAAGTCCAACTGGGCTTGCCACGCTTTCGGCAAAGACTACTCGGAGAACATGGCCCCCTCCACGACGCGGACACAGTCAAGGCTCCGACAGACTTACAGCTAGTGAAACTCGACTACGGCCCGCCCAACCAGCACGACACAACACGACTCATCGCAGCCGCGCGCAGCCAGACCCCGACCAAACTGGAGGAACTCCTCAGCCACCCACTCAATCCGAACTGTGTCCAAGCAACGCTGTTCTCCACCACCACGCCCCTCGAAGCAGCAACGAGAGGCAGAAAACTAGAGAAAGTAAAGCTCCTGCTGGAAGCCAAAATCAATGCCAACACCGACGAAGACCACGGCCTGCTGCTGCGAGCAGCACAACGACAGGACCAGACAGCGGTCCAGCTCTTGATCGCGGCCCGGTGTCACTTGGAAACACGCAACCACACCGGCACTACGGCCCTCGCCGCCGCAGCACGCAAGAGCAACGTCCAAATCGTGCACATGCTTCTGCAAGCCAGAGCCGATATCGAGGCCCCGAACAACAATCGACGCAGACCACTCGCGGTCGCTGCGTGGGCAAACCAGCCCATCATCGTGCTAACGCTACTAGCAGCACGCTGCAACCCGCTGGCCGCAGAACCACGTCACCCAGATGGGATTCCTGCATCAGCGGCCAAAAACATCTTCCTCAGCGCATGCGTGCAAGCAGGCAAACAGGCCATGCGTGAAGCGTTTCTCGCCGGACCGAAGCCGTGTGTCGACCAGCCGCACGAAGAGCTCCAGGAGCCCGTATAATTGAACTGAACCCAGAAGAAGCGAAAGCTGGACGGTCGCATCCACCGGCTAATGCCACCGACCATTGCTGAATGGGCCTGCTCCGACAACGGAAAAGACCAGCCGAGCCCTGCACGTGCCTCCCATACCGAGAAACCCACTTCAAGAAGCACCCAAAAACATCGAACCCGCTAGCACATTTTCTGGCTCGGAAGCATACCCACGCACAACTAAATAGCCAAGCCGCGACAGCAGGCATGTCCTCAACCAGAATCGATACGTCTGCTTGTCCTGGGAGCAAAGAGGTGCAACCGCCAGATTTGTGCATGCTCGTCCCCCCCCCCCCCCCCCATCCCGACCCACCCCTCCTTCATGCCAGCCACTGCTGCGAGGTGCTTGGTTCGCCGATCGGCTCCTCAACCAGCAAACAATGCCAGCGGCTTCTTGAAGTAAGGTGCCACGATATCGTCCTCAACCCGAAAGAAGCCAATGTGCTCACCTGCTCGACAACCTGGCTCAACCTCGACCTCAACCTGTCAAAGCCGCCTACACCTAGCCTCGACGAGCGACAGCAAATCAGATTGACGGCAGCAAAAAAGGGGGAAGCGGGAACTGGCAAATCACATAGTGCACACTGATCCCAAGAACAGACCACACACAAGAAAGCCCCCGAGCCTCGCTGGTGTACTTACTTACTCCGTCCAGCATATGCACAATACACACAAACCGCCCTTCCGGCAGCACAAGAAGCAATGGCAAACTCCGTCCTGTTGCACTCCGATAACTGTAACTGTAGCCCTGGCTCAAAATACTTTGCTGGTAGCCCGCCAAGCGACATGCACCAGCCGATCATGCTGCACGTCCGCGGCTGCAGCGGTCAAGTGATCTGCACCATCGATCCCTCAGCCCGCAGCCACAAAGACGGGATCGTCCTTGACGACCTGGCGCTCACCGTAGGCATGCGCCTAGACGTGCCCGCCAACCGCATCAGCATTCACTTCGCTGAAGGACAAGCTGAACTAAATCCGAAAATGACCTGGGCCGACTGCGAACACCTCACTGCCCAACACAGCAGCTACGAACTACTGGCAGTCGTCCGACATTTTCGAGACGGAGGAGCACCCGAACTATCCCTTGCCATTCAGATGGAGTCTCACCGACAAGTCTGCAGCCTGCTAGAAGACCTAGTGGACCCCAACATCGCAATCAGCCACGACAGCAACTACGCACCATGCAGCCCTTTGTGCATCGCCGCCTACACCAATTTTGACAACCCCTACATCGCCCAGGCACTCACCGCGGCCCACGCCAATGTAGACGGGAGGCACTTCGCCATGAGTCCTCTGACGGCAGCCTGCGAAAGTTACAACCTGCAGATGATCAACTTCCTCGTTGAAGCCCGCGCAGACACAAACCGACCAACGTCGTCCACGGACACGCCTCTGCTTATTGCGGTGTCCATGGATTCCGCACCGCTGGTGCACCTCCTCCTGCGCCACCGTGCCAACATCAACCAACAAGATCATTGGCAACGCGGTCCCATAGAACGGGCCTTCCAGCACAGGGCACCCCGAGCAGCAGCATGCCTTCTGCGGGCGAAAGCGCAAGTGCAGCCGCACACAGATGCCAACTGCTTACTCCACCGCGCCGCAAGCAAAGGCAGCTTAACCTGGATCAAAATACTCCTCGCAGCCGGGGCAAACCCGCAAAGCAGAGATGAGCACGGCCGCCTTCCCATCAATGTCCTCCGACGCCTGCCAACCTTTCAACAGCGCCAGCAAATCAAACGCAGCCTTTGCTCAGCCAGTCCCACAGCCACTCGCCGCAGCCCATCCGCGGAAAATCCAGTGGGTCACACAGGCGAGCAGGAGTCCCGCCCACACTGCGTAGAACGCTTCGAGACCAGCAGCGAGACCGGCAATGCGAGGAAAAAAACTGCAGCTCAGAGCGCAGAGCATTCACTTGTGCAGGTATGGACAGACGAGCAAGCCAGAAACACGCAAGCAGCAAGTGACACGCCAGTGTACAGCAAAGCCAGAACACGCGGCAGCACCAAAGTGCCAGCCACCAATGGCCATCCAACGCCATCTAAAGAAAAGAACGCAAGTAACAGCCAAGCAACGGCTAGAGGAAAGCGAACATCCGGCTGCAAGAACATCTCCATGCTCAAGGACCACACCACCAAAACGGCACCAGAACAAAAGGAACCTCACCAAAACCGATTGCATATATGCAAAAACATTACCCACACACCGCACCCCATCCCGCCACAGCATGCCTGTGTTCTCGGACAAAGAATCTAAGTGAAAGTAGCAAGACCAGCAGCAACAGCAGCAGGAACCAACCAAGAACTGTCTAACCCACGCCAACAACGTAGCTCCAGCAAGAAAGGATGCATTCTGCCACCAGAAACAGTAAACAGAACGAACGCGGGCTGTCTCCGACGAGCAGCCATTTCACGGCTCATGCAGCAAAAACATCCGTAGATTCCCTTGATTCCCGACAAAAAAAATCCGCCACACGATGAAAGGAAATCTCCGCAGCAACCGAAGCCCTCGACGAAGTCAAGAAGAAGCCGCACAGAAGAAAGCGAGGCACTGCATGGAAAGAGCAATCTACGCCAAGGAGGCGGTCCTGTTCGACGGCTTGCTCCTCCACCACCTGTCGCCTTGGCCCCCTTTCGGTCCAGAACCCCCGGAAACACTCAAGGCCCCTCGACCAGAAGATGCCCGATCACTATTGCAGCTGAGCGGCACCTGTAAGGCAGCGGCCCGGTGCTTCCATTCGGCCGGGCTGCGAGCACTAACACGCCATCTTCGCGAAGACAATCGTTGCCTGGCAAGCTACGCCCAGCAATTGGAGAAAACCCTGGCTTGCGTACTCCACATGACGGAGAGAACCCTGGCACAATTCACACAAGTGGAAAACTGAAGCTGAGCTCTCGCAAGACCGTATGCAATAAAGCAGTCTAGCCTCCCACCCACATACCGTCGCTCCCCCAGCCACTACACAAACCGAGAGCTCGCGAGACAGAGCCCATGCTCAAAAGGCGCGGCGGCTGTACAGTCACTAGCTCGTCGCATACAAAAACAGCACAAACAGAACGTCCCTACGTTTACAACAAACCGCGTCAACCAACGACAAGGCACGCATAATAGACGACAGAAGTTTGACTGCTTCGAGTATGGAGCCGAAAAAAGCGCCCGACCCGCAAGCCAAAAAAGGGAACACTTGCCCAACGGAGCCACCCACGTACATGCGCAAATGCAATGCATAGCCCTTGGGCACTGCAGCCATCCAGCTATCCAGTCACGACACAAGCCACACATCGTCAAACAGCTTGCGCGCATGCTAGAAGAACCGCCGTGTTCGACGGCGAAAACCACCGCGAGAAGAACAGAGCGCGAGAGCTCGCGCCAGCGCATGCAGCAGGACACCCAATCAGCAGGCATGTTGCAGGTCCAGAGCCACGAGGCACCTGCCTATACCGAATACCCATGCGTAACCACCAGAAAGCCATGGATGCAATCGCGCCCAGTCACAAGCCCCCCGCCTGGAAGCCGGGAAAGTTCGCTCGACGAACACTGCAGACGGCCCCAACGCCAGGACACCTGCGAATCACCAAGCTAAGCGGTGAGCATCTCGCCGAAACTCAAACAAATCGACATCGAAGGGTGAAAGACCTGCTCGCCTACCTGGAGCCTTACTGCAACGTTTCCAGGCAAAGAATCAGAGTCCTCCAGCACACGCGCAGGCTGCCACACCGCAATCTACGCCAACTACGCCTCAGAATCACGAAAGACATGCAGGCTGTCATCCTGCCGTATGTGCACCTGCTCGAGGGCTCAAAAGAAAAAGAGGATTTCAGACTGGCCCTGTGGAACAGACACGCCAAAAAACTGGCAAAGCTCCTATGGCGACCAATCGACCCAAACACCATCTTCAACAGATACTACCCATCGCCGACGTCAGCACTCGAACTGCTCCTGCTGAACCCGACAGCAAGCTGGCCAGCAGCTGCCCTGCGACATATCCTGGAAGCCAAAGCCGCCCTGGACCGACCCGAGAACAAAGACGTGCTCCTCCTGGCCGTGAGACAGGGACAAGCCCACTACGTACAACTACTTCTAAGGCAGCAGGCAAACCCTCGTGGCTCCACGAACCGACTGACACCATTGGACATGGCATGTCAACATCACCCCGAGGACTTCTCGCACAACGCTCAGCAACCGGGTCTAATCACCATGTTGCTAACAGCCCAGGCCGACCCAGAGCCCATGCTCCGGGACGCCAACAGCTGGGCCGCACACCCGACCCCAAGGGATTACGTCGACCTGGCAAACCCTCGCACGCTAAACAGCACCGTAACCTTGGCCTGCGCAGCAGCCGCTCATTCCAACCCGACGTTTATGCAACAAATTCTGGCAGCCGCAACCACTGAGCAAACCGCCACGATCACCGGAGATCTCCCCTGCAAAGCTGCACAAACGTCCGCCATAGCCGCGAGTCTCTGCAGCGCAGCCTATGCAGGCAAGACCAACCACGTGCGCTGGCTGCTAAGCATGAAAGCAAACCCAGACGCCCACGTGTGCCACTGGATCCTGCAAGGTAAGCACGACTTCATGTCAAGTGGCCACGACCACCAGACAGCCGTCGCCCTCGCCGCCGCCAAGGGACACTACGCCACCGTGCAAACACTGCTCGAAGCCAAGGCCGATGCAAACCTCAGCTTCAACGGACAGCCACTCTTGCTGCAAGCTACGCACCTCCAACCCCCAGCAGCCGTAATAAGCTCCATACTGGAGACGCACCAGGAAAGCAACCGAAGAGACAGGTTTGGACCCACGCCACTCTCGCTCGCACCAAGAAGCGGAGAATTCCAAGACAAGACGGCAAGTGAAATCCTGCCGGAGGTCCAAGCCAGCAGCTGTCACAAAGACCGCCTCGGCCAGCACAGCATCGCAGCAAGGAAGCCTAACACAGAGTTCCACCATCATGAACGGCCACAACAAAAATCGCAAGATCCGCGAAAAGAAGCAACCGAACGCAGCCGCCAAATCCAAACATCTGTCAAGCGACACAAGAAGCACGGAAAATCCATGGCAGCAAAGCATCCAACAAGTCATGCTGCTGTTCGAGCGGAACTGCAAGATGAACCGCCGGAGCGTAAGTCAGCCGGCAAAGAGCTCTGCTTGCCTGCCCGGGCTGATCGCGAAGACCAAGCAGTCGCCAGACGAAACAAGCAGCAAGACTTCAGGCGTCATCAACATGAACGCCAAAAAAAAACTCCAGGCTTCGCCTAATCAGTAAACCCTCAGAAGACTAGGCACACACACACACACACACCAGTTGCAAGGCTTCAGCAGTTCCGGTATCCGAGCCGCGAGATGACGAGTTTCACTTCATCAGCCTGCCCATGCGGCATGGTTCGCCGCCAGACAGCAGATCCCAGAGTGTCGCAACGAGCGAGCAAAATGCCGCAGATGCCGTGCGAAGCTGTGATCAAGGAGCCAAACCCATTCTGCAATCCAGCAGTGCTTCAAGCCGAAACCGTTGCCGACCGGGTAGCCCCGTGAAGGTGCACAGCACAACGTCCTGTGACAACACACCCCTCAACGCCGCCGCCGCAGCACACTCAGCCTCGACCTACTATCCAGCTCCAACAAACGTCCCCCGACTGTGGTCCGGCACGAGCCTCAGCCACGACTGCTTTCGCCATTAAAGTCGCAAGCAGTCTCCGAGAGAAATCCCTCAGCCGTGCTTCTAAGGTCAGCTGGCGCGAAAACGATGTTGGACGACGTGGACGAATACATCCAGGCCCCGAGCCCCTCGATCGACGGTGGGAACGAGTTTGACGATTGCGACTGGATGCACACAGAAATGCAGCGGGAAGCCGAGGAAAACGCGCGCGAAAGAGAGGCATGGAACAAAGAAATGGACATCCAGAATGCGCACAACAAACGTCTGTCGAACATAATTGTGAAGTACATGAATATGGACAGCCAGGAAATTCACACCTCGAGGCCCTACCCATTCAGCCAGCTTGACTGCGGGTCGTTCCGCGAAGCATGGCTAACCACGTTACACGAAGGGAACAACCCAGATCGATTTCTCACCCTGCACGAGCTACGTGATAGACGGAAGAAGACGAACAAGCCCTTGCCTGCAGAAGTACTAACGCACAGAAACCCCAGAGAAGTCCTGCTCCATGACTTGGACAGCAGTCGCATCGGGCCGATCTGCCTGGATACGACAAAACTGGTCGTGGGCAAGGACCTGATCACGGACACCTGGAGCTGGGAGGACCTCTTGGAGTGCAGCTTCAACAAGGACACCGTGCACGTGCATGTCGTCCGCACTTCTGAGCAAGCCACCGGCCCGTGACCGAATAGTCCCAGTCCTAGAGCTTCAAGTCCGGGCCACACGAGCTGCCTCGCAGAAACCTGCGAGCCAGAATACAGAATGTGGCCCAGGCCGTCAGCAAGACGAAAATAGAGCGCAAGCGGCAATCGGCGGTTCGAACAAAAACACATCAAGAACAATTGCAACGAAAGCTTCTCAACAAAAGGATGCGACGGAAAAGACCCGACCGACGTAACACCGACCAGACATGTCCAGGCCACCCACTCCACGCCACACCGCCTGCACAACTGCAGAATGCAGCCAACAACACCACCCTGCGCAGCACTCCGGCTCAAAAACAAACAGAAATGCACCGATCCAGTCTCCGGCAAAGCCATCAGACAAGCATGGCCAAGCAGCCGCCCAGGAGCGGAGAACCTGCGAGATCCCTGCGCATCTACACCTTGTCCGGAGAAGAGCTTTCCGACCTACCGGAACTTCCTGAGCATGCAACCGCTGGCTACCTGAAGCAACAGTTGCAAGTCACACACGGGATGCCGCGATTCCGACAGAGACTCTTCAACGGCACCCACACCCTGCAAGACCAAAACGAAATAGCTCTTCCGGCAGAGCTCCAGCTCATGCTGATTAGCTACATTCCCGCCACGCGGGACAACGTGCTCGAGTTGATCCACGCCTGCGACCTGGCAAGAGAAAAAGAAGTGATAGAGATTCTACACCGACCACAAGACGTGAACGTGTCCTTGCCGTTGCCCATGGAAGACAGCCACCAAGAAGACGACAGCGACGACGAGAGCGCGCACTCAGATCGAATCGACACCGCCCTCCAAGCAGCAGCTCGAGAAGACCACGAATCCATCATCGAGCTCTTGCTAGAAGCCCGTGCCGACATGCATGCACCGGGCAACAACATCGCGCTCTGGTGGGCAGCAGGAAAAGGCAGTACACATGCAGTAAAAGCGCTGCTACGCGCACGTGCCGAGGTAGACAACACAAACCGCCGCGACGAGACCGCCCTCATCGAGGCAGCCTGGCAGAGCCAAGACAACACCGCCGACTTGCTGATCCGAGCCCGCGCCAACCTCGAAGCGCGCGATAACCACGACCGAACACCCCTGGTCGCAGCCTGCACCGCAAACAGCCAAGAGGTTGCAACCTTGCTACTTCGAGCTCGCGCAGATTTGCAGCACCTCATCCAACATGAGGACACAACCTCGGACATGAAAACAACTGCAATGTGTGCGGCAGCCACCGCAAACTATCTAGACGGCGTGACAGCCTTGCTCGAAGCCAGCACGAACATCAATGCTGCCGACGACACAGCCGACGGAACCGCGCTCTGGTATGCCGCAAAAGAAGGACACACAGAAGCCGTTGCATTGCTCCTGTTCCACAAGGCCAACCCAAACACGCACATCACCGAGGGAAAAGGGGGCAGCGCCCTGTGCGCAGCAACATCTCAAGGAAACAACACCGTGGTCGCACAGCTGCTGATGGCCCGAGCCGACCCGAACTTCTACGGCTTCCCCGCCGAGCCGCCTCTGGTCCTAGCGTGCCTGCAAAACAAGCCCGACACCGCAGAGCTGCTGCTGCATGCCAAAGCCAACCTCGAGGAAAACCTGCTGCGGGCGATGTTCCACTACGAGATCGCCCAAGCCCTCAAGCACGAGTGCGCACAAGATCTCCTCCTACGCCAAGCACAGCGCCGAAAGAGAAGCAGCTGGTCGCCGGGCCGGTTCGCAAGGCAAATGCGACGAAAAGCATCGGTCCAGTCCACAGAACCTCCTCACCAGACACAGCGATCCAAGCAAAGCGCGGACTCTCACCGACCGGCACCGAAGCATGGCCAACGAGACAAGACCAGGCGCCGTACTGAAACTTCCTACTGAAACAGTCCAACACGGACAGGGGCGACAGCGGAAAAATGCTCGCACACGCCCCACGGTCATGACAGCAAGGCAGACACCGGGGCACGGCCTCGTCGCAGGAATGCCTTCAACACACAGGACAAACGATACATCGACACTGCATCAACATATCAGACATAGACATACACGCAGACAACAATAACAAGAACAAGAACATGTGTACATGCATATACATATATATATATATATATGTGCTAGACATATGTATGCAGACACAATCGCTCACCGAAACAAAGCCAGCAACGAGCCACAGCAATGCTAGATCGAGCAAAGAAAAGATACACGCTTCCACGCAACGGCTGCAAACAACTCACAAACGAGTCCAGCAACACCACGATGAAGCCCATGCCTCAAAGCTGACAAACACAGCTCCAGCCCCAGCGAAGCAAACGATACTCAAGCAAGAAACCAACGCAGAAGCATCAGAGACAACCAGCAGGAAAAGCAAGATACCATCGCAGGACTAACCAAAGAACTACTGTGGAAACTCCTGAAAAGCAACGAAACCCGCAACTCGAACGGCACCCACGCAAGACACCTCGACACCGTAGCAGCTGACATTCGGCAAAGACGACACCACCTGATGCAGCGCCCGCTGTACGACCAAACGACAGAAGAGGCACCAGACGACATCACCCTCTAGTCTAAAGAATGCAGACTCCCTGCGAGAACCAGCTCGCTTATCTAGAAAGCAGAGAGCAGGAACGGAAGCCTTCCTTTACTGGAGAGCGAGCAAGAAAGGAAACAAACTGCAAGCGACGGGTAACCACTGCGCAGACAGGCCATTGCCGCATGCGACTCTGAAAACATATCCTGTCTGCAATTCCTGCTCGAGACAAGCTGCACAAGCCGGCGCCTCCAGCCCTCTGCGTCCACACGAAGAACGAGGGAGTGTAACTAAGCAAGAAGATGGCGCCCGCGTCGCTCACTGCTACTGCAGCCGCGACGATCCTCGAGCACCTCCACAACCAGCCACTGATCAAAACAGGTCCAGCAGACCGCCACCAAGCGCCACTCGGCACAGATGTGGAGCGGACCGCTGAGCACCTCGCACTAGAGCTACTGCGGCACCACAAGCGCTGGCGCGGATCAGAGTTCGTCACGGAAAAAGGTAGAGTCGAAAAGGATCCGCTGAAAATCGCACGCTCCGCGGGCAACTACCCGGAACTATTCTCTTTCGCGTGCTGCTTCCTGGATGCTGCCGCCATGGTAAGCTTGGCAGTGCCTCCAAACAGCCATCCGAACTACGACATCAGGCTGCTGACCATAATGTATGATTGGCAACAAGGGACATGCGGCAGCAGGAGGAAACAGCCGATAGATCTCTGGCGACCACAGCAGTTCGTGCTCGACATCAGTTTTCTACCTCCAGCCTTGCTGCCCGAGAACGACGACTCCGACGTGGACGAGGACTATGTGCCGCCCCTGCCCTGCTCCTACGCAAAGCTGCGGGTACATGGCACCGTCCTGCCGCCGGTCTGGCGCTCCATGAGCGCCGTGTGCAAGAACTGGGACGCAGCCGTCTTCGCGGTTCGCAGTGCGAGCGGCTGGAGCAGCGTCTGCGGCAAGCCGCGCCCGCGTGGCCAACGCAGCATGTGCGAGTTCATGCTAACGGCCAAACGCAGGCGAGTGGCCGACGCTCGAGACCCACACTGCTTCAACTGCCGACCCAAAGTGGCTGCAACGACAAACTCAGCCACAGACACAGACACCGATGCAGAGAACCACGGACAAAGCGACGCAAGTCAAGACCAGACTTGAGCTTACAGGCTGTGTCATACGAAGACAAGCCCAGCACATGCAACGGCTCTTGCTCGTGGCTATAGTAAACCAAGAAAGTCCTGCAATGAACCATCATATACGAACAGGAACAGTAGCACTTGGCCGCACCGGCAGAAACTTGAAGCCCGCAAGCCAGAATAATTCCAGCAAGCACCCAACAACTACTGCTTTGCGACAAGGACATGCTGCGCTCGTCGTAACCCTTTCAAACATCAAGCTTTCACCCGCATCAAGCCGACGTTTCTCTGGCACGTAGCGGGGAGGTAAACACACCAGTGCCACCAGCACGTCTGCCATCAGCATAGCTCCCACTCGCAGCCTGCTCGACGACAGCGGAGGAACAACCCACCTTATTGTGGCAGCGCCATTCACGAAACAAATCTGACCCTCTTCCCGGCCTGTCCTGACAGGTCGACGAGTGAAGCCGGAAGGCATTCAACCGCGAGGATTAACCTGCAACACAGTGTCAAATGACTCTGACAACCCCGGTCCGTGACTATGTCGACTGCTTGCAACAGATCACGTACAGGCACCCCCCCCCCCCCACACAACCCCGTTGCAGCACGGTTAACGCCCGAGGCAGCGCATTCGTCATTCAGAACATGCCAGCCAAAGTTCTCGGAAATATATGAAAAAACGATGTGAGCGTGCATGTCACGCTGCTTGCACACTCTCACCATATAGAGTCGTTGCTCGGCATGTTTGTCAGCTAGGCTTGCTGCAGCACCGGCACACACTGAGCCCCCCAGCAACAACACAACCCAACTGTCGCCGCATTTTCAGATCGAACAATTGCAGATGTCCTGCACAGCACCCCGGCACAAGACCGTCGCCCTGATGGAGCTCTCGAGGAGGACTGTACCGGTATACATGACAGCAAGCGGCGAGAAGATTGCCGACGTAGAGTTGGGAGAAGGACACCGCCAGGTCCGAGACGTCGCCACGCAGCTGCAACCGAAGATCAAGGCAAACCGATTTCAGCAGCGGCTACTTCGCCAGAGCAACTCCGCCGAGCTTCGCGACGAGCATCTCCTGGATTCCGACGTCAAGGAACTGTTCCTAATCCTACTTCCATACGTCGACATCAACCCGAAGGCCGAGACGGAGCTACTGGACGCGATCGAGGAAGAAGATATCACAGAAGTCGAAGCCATCCTCCGCCGACCGCAGCACCCCGACGCCTCCTGCTACCACACGAATGCTCTGCTGCTCGCAGCCCACAAGAACAACTCCGACATCGTCAAGCTTCTCCTGGAAGCGGGAGCGGATGTCACACGACGGGCCAACGACCAGGCTCTGCTAGAGGCAGTCCAAAACGACAACTTCGAAGTAGCAACAATGCTGCTGGCCGCAAGGGCGTCGCCACACCCGCAGCCAGGCGACGACTACACGCCCCTGCACGAAGCAGCCATGGCACAGCGCTGGGACATCATGTTCATACTACTAGAAGCAAGAGCGCGGGTAGACGATCGCGATCCGGAAGGCAACACAGCGCTGCACTTCGCGTGCGACCAAGCCTACAGAGACCCGGTCCTCACCTTGCTGGAATACCAAGCCAACCTCGAGGCCGAGAACAACGACGGAATCACGCCAAAGACCGTCGCCCTGTGTGGGGCCACCATACGCGAGCTGGTATTCTACGCTAACTCGATACAGGCCGCGAACTCAGACTCCAGCGATTCAGAATAACTCACAGACCAAGAAAACGCCGACGGCATGGAGAACTCCCGAGATTGTGAGTCTCACATGAGCGGAGAAAACTGAAAGCCGATGCTGTCCACGAATCAATCGACCGTGCCTCCCAGAAAATGTCATGCACGGTTAAAAGAGCGACCAGAAAATCAGCAAGGGAGACACGCAACACAGTCAGCCAGTCCAATGTAGACGCCACTTAAAGTCAGGCTCGGTCGACCGCCACTTCTTTAACAGGCCGGAGCGAACAGCAGCCAGGCGGAGTGCAGACGATCCGCTGCAGCTGATGCCAAGAAAAGCGAAAGCGCTCCTGCACGTCAGCAGCCACCACAGAGCAAAAGCTAGACGGCCATGAGTATATAGCACTCGAAATCCCAAACACCGCTGCGACGAGACGCATGCCTGTATGCATGCAAGCCCAGGAACAAAACATGGGAATGCCGCTCAGCGCAAAATCCATCACGGCCTGCACAGACGTTCAGCAAACAAAATTACCAAGTCAGCAGACCTACATACAACCACTTTTCCCTAAACACACAAAACCTGAAGAGTGGCTCCAGCCAATAGCAGTGCTGAGGCCACGTGAGGTCTTCCAGCATGGTGCGTCGCAGCATTAAAGGGCCAGAAAGCCCAATTTGGGGCTTGGAAGGGGTCTGGAACAAGCCCAAAAACCCAATATGAAGTCTTGGAAGGGGTTTGAAAAGGGCCAAAAGGCCCAATTTGAGGGCTTGGAAAGGGTTTAGAAACGGCCAAAAAACCTCCAATTTGGGGCTTGAAAAAGGTTTGAAAAAGGCTAGAGAGCCCAGTTTGCGGACTTGCAGCGGGTCTGGAAACGCCAAAAAGCCATTTCGGGGAATTGAAAAAGGCATAGAAACGGCCAAAAGCTCAATCTGGAGGCTGGAAGGGGGTTTGGAAAAGACCCAGAACCACAATTTGGAGGTAATATCAAGGTTGAAGCCTTTCAACGCAAGGCCGGAGCTGAAGAATTACGGTTTCGGACGAAATCCTAATCCACGTGCATTTTATTCAGGAGAACCACCGGGAATCCTTATCCACGTGCATTTTATGAAGGCAAACCACCTGGAACCCTTGTCCACATGCATTTTTTTTCAAAGAAAACCACCTGGAATCCTTATCCACGTGCATTTTATGAAGGAAAACCACTTGGAATCCTTATCCACGTGCATTTTATGAAGGAAAACCACTTGGAAATTTTATCCACATGCATTCTATGAAGGAAAACCACCTGGAATCCTTGTCCACGTGCATTTTATGAAGGAAAACCACTTGGAATCCTTATCCACATACACTTTATGAAGGAAAACCACCTGGAATCCTTATCCACGGGCATTTTATGAAGAAGAACCACCTAAAATCCTCATCCACGTGCACTTTATGAAGGAAAACCACCTGGAATCCTTACCCACGTGCATTTTATGAAGGAAAACCACCGGGAATCCTTATTCACATGCATTCTATGACAGACA